CTGTATTCAGTTCTTGAGTATTTTGATGTTTTAGAAATAAAAGAGTTCTTGAAGTTCTAGATACCATCTGAGGAAGGAAGTAGATATATTCCGAGGCAAAGTAAAGCCCTTCTGGTTCTTTTAAATACTGCTACCTAAAAAGGTGCTCCTATGTCATCAGTCTTTTCTAAACATCTCATCTTTAGTTTATTTATTTTACCTGTGTATTCTCATGCACATGCAAAATATATGTTGGATTTACTTAACTTTTTTATTTCAACAGATTCCACGTAACTGGGTTATGTTGCATTTAATTAACATTGTTTATTTCAGTAAACTTAAGTTTATTACATGAGGTTAATTCAATGCCATTTAGTTGAATCAGGTTAACATTCTTAATTTTGTCCAAAACTATTAAACTCAATTATCCTAAAATTAATATCAAACAAAAATTAAAACAAATAATCCAGTGTAATTGATTTGTTTATTTAGTGAATGCGTTCAATACATTTGTACAACCTTTACAAATGTTATCTAACAAGAAAATCTTTTACAAAATCTTTACTCTGTAAAGACTCTTTTTTTTGCATTTGCTAGAAGACGATTTGTTACATCCAAGGCATGCCCAATGTAGTTGTATATTATTATTAAACCACTTTAATTGTTGTTAGCACATGCTCTACACTTCACCACAACCCCAAAAACACTAACATATCAGAAACTCTTTTAAATATAAACATAAAACAACATTAAACATTAACAAGTCACACATTTTTCATCTTTATGAAAAAACGCATAAAATAACATTTTTTTTTTCAAAATTTACTCTCCCTATCCAGCCCTGTGCAAAGCATGATGGGAAGGGGAAATCCTGTTCCTAGTTTCTATAATGCTATTTTAAAACAACTAAACTCATTTATGTACTCTCAACTCAAATGGATTTTACTTAAGTAAATTGAACAAGCATCAAATGTTATTTTTGGCCTATACTTAACTGAATCATGTCCTTTCAAACGCAACTGTTTCAAGTCAGTTTAGCGCAATGCAATTGTGTATGAATGAGAAAGCTAATACACGCTAATACAATGGGGTTAAATGAAAATGATTTTTTAAATAAACTGAACAGTATCGTATAATCATTTTTTTTTTAGTGCTGACTTATATACTTGATTTTATTAAAAGCAACTCTGGAGATGCACAAAAGCCACACCAGGACAGTGTCACTTATTGATTCATTGGAAATATTTATTCTGCTGTGATGCTTGAGGGGGGAAAGGCAGAAGAGGGCTGCAAACTGTGAGAAACTGTCAAACTCAAAGATTATTTAAAATTCTCTGTGGAGTTTCTCTAGACTTCAAAAGCCTAATGTCTATCACTGCAGGGCTTTGGAGTATGAGTGCTAGCAAATATTTATGAGTGTGTGCATGCATGTAAGTTTTTACACAAGTCGCATCAGCTCAGTCTGGCACACACATGGTCTCACGCTGGTCCTCTCTATAGAGCTTTTAGATGGAATGTGCTAATAACACTAAAAAGCAATTGCATATGAGGCTCATTGAGTCACATATATTTTGATGCTTTGATGCTTTCCTGATCAAACACTTTAATATTGTATTTAGACACTATAAGTGGTGAAGTGATGATATATGAAAATGTCATGTGAGTGTGACTATTGAAGAAATCTGTAATTGCCATTAATTTTATCGGCTGAACAAGAAAAGCTCTTGAGAAATTGTTAAGCATCAGATTTCATGGTATTGATTTATTTCTATATTTTTTCCACAGTGAAAAGACTGTATACTGCTGAATCCTGCTCTTATGTGCCAGAGCTGAAGGCCGTGTGTAATTGGAAGCACTTTGTTAGTCACAGCCTATGAAAAATGACTGATGTGATTTGGAGATTGAGTGACGGCAAATAGTGAAGCGTTAGCATTTCAGTTTTCCAAGTCGTGATTGTTGTTGCTATTTTCAAAGGGCTGACAAGGGTTTTGAGTCCCTACTCGACCATAATGCAGAGCAAAATATAATCATTAATGCAGTGTTCAAAAATGGTTCTTATTGTCAATGGTGTGAATTATTTTTTTACATTCCATTCCAGGGTAATTTAGTAGACACCTTTGGAAATACCAAAGCTATTTTAAGGTTTGGTCTTTAAAAAAAAAAAAGTATCAGCAGTTTAGAAGCTTTCTAAGATAAAAGAAAAAGAAAAAAAAAAAGAGGCAAAATTTAAGATTTTCGCTCCCTTTCATGAGTGTTCATTTCCATCTTCCATAAAAACTATGTAATTTGGCTTCATGCTGAAAACTTTGGGATCAATTTGAAAATTCTGGCAAATTTAAGTTTTCTTCCACCATGATCCATTAATATACACTCTTAAAAATAAAGGTTCCAAATGGATTTTTTAGCATCAATGCCATATCAATGCTATTTTTGGTTCCCTAAAGAACCTTTCAGTCAACAGTTCTTTTGTTGACTGAAACCTTTTTTTTCCCTTAATAGTGTGAAGAACATTCTTAAAATCTGAATTTTGTGAATTTGTGGAATAAAACGTTTACATGGATGTTGAAGGTTCTTCATGGAACCATCGATAAAAATAAAGAACCTTTATTTTTAAGAGTGTAGGCATTCCCGTGACATTAAATCACATGTAATGCATGTATCACAACATGGATTTTGAACCATGATTATTTTATTAATGCCATCCTATCTGTAATTTCAATCACAGACTTCTTGCCTTGAACAGTAGACTGACCCTGAGAGAGAATCATTTCTCCATCTCTAATATTATTCATTAGTTCATTCTCAGTGGAATCTCTCCTATTGGGCCTCCATGTCTGATTCCCTCATGTTTATTAAAGAAATATAACCCTAATGTGACCTTTTTTAAAACGTTGTCTGCAATGGCTGTCATTAGACCGTGGCATCAAGGGATAGTTCACACAAAATGCAAAGTTCTGTCATTATTTACTGTGTGTTGTTATTTTGTTGGGGAAACACAAAAGGAGCATTTTTGGAAGACTTTTTCATACAGACACTTGTGACTGTCAAGTTCTCTCTCTCACTCTCTCTTTAAACCCTCACCGCTTTCATGTTCCATATAACAGATTTGGATTGTTCTGATTTATTATTAATAAATTATGATTTGAAGTTTTAAATTAGCATTCTATTTTGAATTATTAAGTCATGATTTACGAAGTCATTGTTCTTTTATGATTTTACATTTTAAATCAGTGTTCTATTTAGAATTGATAAATCGTGATGTACAGTTTTAAATCAGTGTTCTTTTAACCCTTTAAGACCGACGGGAGCGTAGTAGATTATGATTCAAAGTTTCAAATCAGTGTTCTAGTTCGAAGTCAGTGTACTATTTACAAGTAATAAATGATGATTCAAAGTTTTAAATCAGTGTTCGATTTAGAATGATCATGATGTAGACTTTTTAAATCACTCGATATATGAAGCTGATTATATTGTTTATCTGTCTACAGTTTTCCGGGCTTTACCTGCTGTCCTTCTTCATCATCGTCCTGGGACTGGTCTTCTACTTCTCCTCCTCCACGTACGTGGCACAGGATCCTCGCGTTTATAAACAGTTCCGCAACACGGGAAACGCTCTCACAGACACGCCCACTGTGGGGCCGCTGGAGCCTTCAGTGACCTATACGAGCCTGGGTCAGGAAATAGAGGAGGAGCCTCGTATACGAGTAGCCTGAAGGGGGCGTGGTCTCTCAAAACCAATCATCCACGGCCCGGCCCAGCAGTCTGTAGAAAAGGGAATGGTAACGATCACTGAATGATGTAATCAACCACGTAGCAAATGAGTACACTGTGATCACGAACTGTTTATAGGTAGCAGTGACTTCTGTACATCTGAGTTATCAGATCCATCATGTATAGAGATGATTTCACCTCATTGCCTCTTTCCCCGCGGCAAATTAAGTGTTTAGAAGGATTCGTGCTGACTGTTTTGTCCAAATGCTCACTTGTGAATGTTTTGCTTTCTTATACAAGCACAAAGGGTTCATTGTATCTGAAAGTTTGACAAGGTTCGTCTCACTACAGTTTCATGAATATTTTATGTTTTAAATGATCTATCTGACGACGTCTCTGGAAAACTGCATTCTGAGTTTTAAAATGCTGATTTGAGCCAGTGCCTTGCCATGTAATATTATTGTGGGTTCCATTTAGCCAATGAGAAATCATGACTTCTAAAAACAGTGTCATCAGTATTGGGCATCATGTCATGATTGCATATTGTATTATCTGCTCTAAATGATAAATATTTCCATCTACAAAAAGGGTAAAAAAAAGAAAGTAAAAAAAAAGAGTGATTTTCCACCCTTCTTTAAATGTTATACGATATTCATTTTTTATATTTGTCATCATACTGTTTATTTTGTTTTAATTCTGCCAAGAGAGGGTACATGCATTTGTATTAAATATTAAAGTCTGTGTAATAGCAATTGATTGTAAACTTGTAAACTATTTTACTGCACTTGACTTTGTTTTATATGCAGTTCAGTCTTTAATTATCATCTTATTTGGATAAAATCCAATACATGTGTAAAGTTATTCTGAACTGATATCTACATTTTGTTTTGTTTAAAAAAAATTGTCATTTAAATATTGGAAATTCTTAATGTGTTTGACTTGCTTAAAATAAAGTATATTTGTCTTAAACTCAAAAAACGTGAATGTGCCATGACTGGGAAAATGTTTTTAAGATTGCAAAACAATGTCACATCATAATCAAACTTTTACTTAAAAGGGAAAGTTCACCCAAAAATGAACATTTTGTCATCATTTACTCACCCTCAAGTTGTTCCAAACCTCTCTAGTTTCTTTCTTTCTCCTGTTGAACACAAAAGGAGATGTTTTAAAGAATGTTTGTCACCAGAAAGTTGATGGTAGCCATTGACTTCCATAGTATTTTTTTTCTATGGAAGTCAATGGCTATGTCAATTGTTTGATTACCAACATTATTTAAAAAAATCTTCTTTTATGTTCAACGGAAGAAAGACATGTATACATGTTTGGAACAACTTGAAGGTGAGTAAATGATGACAAAATGTTTATTTTTGGGGGAACTATCCCTTAATGCATCTCAGATGGCATAATGGTACAAACTACAATTTCTCCTTTAATTAAATATATGTGAAGACCCTGAATATGTGATGAAATATTAACCGATTGAATCATGTTTACATATTTTACAAAATCATTCTGTTTACAAAAGACAAACTCTTAATGAAACTGGGTTGCACTATGTTCAATCAGTTCCCATTTTTATTTGATTAACTCTCAGCTCACCAACCAAATAAAAGATACTCAATATAAAGCTATGAAAAGCATAAATAATTCCTACAACTGGAAATATAGACAGACAAGAATACTTTACTGACCCCATGGGGAACCTTATGTGCAGGACAACAGCCACATCAGAAGTAAAATGCACAAAAATTCACCTCTAACACAGAAATAACAATTACAAGACAGACCGCAGAATAAATTAGCATTACAAAAACAACGCAAATAAGAAACGCGTTTTTTTGTCATTGCTGTTGGGAAATTAAGCGCTTATCTTGTGAATATTTATTACGAAACGTTTCCGATTGGCTTGGCGAATGAAAACGCTTGCTCTGTGAATGTTAATTAGATTAAGCACGAATGTTGGCGTGACCTCATTTATATTCATGAGCGACCTCGTCGAGATTCACCACCACCCCATGACCTCTCTCAGGTGGTTTCTTCCTAACCTTTAACACCTGAGAGGTGTCTGCAAGCGGGGCGGTGACACCGGCACAGGTATGGCAGACCTTAGCACGACCTGGGAGTGTGAGTTGCTGGAGCAATTCTCCTGTCTGACTGCCGCCACAGAGGAAGAGCTCCATCTGAATACCTCAGATATTAACGTTACCTCGGAAAGCAGCGACAACACAACGGGCTTATTGCATTTAAGTGATGAAGTTCTCCTGGTAATATTGAGGAACTTGGACCCAGTGTCGCTGCTGAGGCTCGGCAGCACGTGCAGTTTATTGTTCCGAGTTTGTTCGTGCAACTCTCTGTGGACCACACACTTCCAGGTACAATATGCATGGACTTTTATTTTTTATTTATCACAGTAAGTCGATTTCTTTATTAAATTAATCAATTCACCCTTTATGCATAGTACCAGTAGGTGGCGAATAGTCAGTGTGTTTATATAAGTGATAATTGAGTCATGCATCCAATATTCGAGTTTAAATAAATAGCACGTTCTAAATATTTTAAATGTGTGTCGTTTGAATGAAATTCGGACTTGCTACATTCGCCATGTTGTCATTATCATGTGACCTACCAGCAGTTCGTTGTGTCGATTCACTGTCATTCATAAATCCTCTCCTGTGGCCTCATGGGATAGTAAAGTGTCTGTCTTCTGCACACTTCGGAATCTCGCCGGAGGAAGTAGGTCATTCAGGTACGTCTTGCCTACATTTTTTTTTTTTTTTTATGAGTAGCCTACTGTGAATTTGGACATGCTGCTTTTGTTACATATTGTTTTTCGCCTACTATATTAGGGAAGTATGCGATTTCATTTGCATCCATTATGTCCGAATTCACAGTACTCATAAAAGAGTAGGTAAAAAGTACCCGGATGACGTACTACTTCTGGACACATTCTGAAGTGTGTGCATACAATGGATATTTTACTATCCCATGATTTATGAATGGCAGTAAAGCGATATGCAACTGACTCTGATAGGTCACTTGATAAGGAAAACGTGGCAAATGTAGTACGTCAAGACATTCATACTACACACACTCATACTTTATAGAACATACTTATTTTAGCAGCCGTGAAGTAAGTACTTTAAAATGAATACTGCGTATGCGATTTCGGACGCAGACTGTCACACACTGTTTCCGGAAGTATGCAATTTCGTGATTTAGCCCATGACTCTTACCAAGTTACAGAGAAAACAAGAAACTGTTATAATAGCCTAAACAATTTAAGAATTTTAACTGTATTCATGTTGTGAACGAAAATAACACGCATGCCTCTAGTTTGTCAAGTGATCCATCATGCAAGAGCAGGTTGTCTGATTCTTTCATTCACCTCACGAACAAACAAAGTGACTCATTCATGGTGCATTTGTTCAATCACTTCAACCAGCAAAATGCTTTCACACTTCACACTTAAATGATATTTGCTCTTCTATAGTACATATTCAAAGGCAGGGAAGTCTTGCGTAAGAGAACTAAAAATACAGTCGGTTAATGGATGTGATTTAGTCATTCGGTTAAAAGATTTGATCACTATTTAGAGTACTCAGTATTTCTATTAATAAACAATAAATATTCAAACAAAATGAAGGCTAATTTGAAGTGACGTGTAGACCAAGTACTGCAACCCATACTCAGAATTTGTCCTCTGCATTTAACCCATCCAAGTTAGTGCACACACATTAGGAGTAGTGAACACACACACACACACACACACACACACACACACACACACACACACACACACACACACACACACACACACACACACACACACACACACACACACACACACACACACACACACACAAAATCTGCAAGCTGTGGACATGCACACCCGAAGCAGTGGGAATAAATTCACTGCGGGGTCCGGGGAGCGATTGGGGGTTAGTTGCCTTGCTTCCTGCCGTGACCTTTGGGTTACAAGTCCGATTCTCTAACCATTAGGCCACAACTACCCCTTTGTGGTCTTCTTTGGTTTGATTTGAATGTTTTTTTCATTGTACAAATTGGGTCTAAACTATATAGATGCCTTTTAAATGGTAATCATTGTATCCAGTGCATCTTGTATTTATGAAATCTAATAATTTTATTTAAACAATTTTATAGTGTTTTGAAGTGTTTTACAACAACATTACTCCAATTTTCATTACTTCACGAAGTCTGTTTGCAAAGATGTCACCAATAGTTATTTGACCGTACACTAAAATCGAAATTCAGCTTAATAGCAATACAACATGTACTATTACAAGAACATATTATTTAAAATAATAAATCAGTTTTATTCCCATTACATTATGTACATTTTGGGGTTTTTCTTATTTATTTTTGTATGTCGATCCGCAGGCTTCGTAAGTGAATGCAGCAGGCACTCGTGTGCTAATCCTCTCCAAAATGTTTCCCCACAGGATTCGTTTGGGGTCAGTCTGTCATATACCCACGCCAGGTGTCCCGTAACGGCCAAAACCGCCTTCCGCTTGGTATTTATGTGGCGATCCCTCTTCAGAAACATCCACTGTAACCGTGCGTTTCAGGAGAAGCTCTTCGTGGAGATTCCACTCGCGCCACACAAGTACTGGGTCCAGTGGCTCGTGCTGGAGGAAATCGTCCCGTTGCCCTCAGTGAGGCTTCCCTGCAGTGATGTGGAGAAATTGTGGGGCATCACCACAGATTTGTTCCAGGACAAACTCCAAGGTGGTCATATTCTCAGCTGACACCTGAGGTTTCCATGCTTAATTCAAGTTTAACATGCTGATTTATTTTTCTCTTTACCAGAGAAAACTGAAGATTGTGACGCCCTCAAATTTGAATGGAGGGAGCTGTATCATCTTGCACTGAAGCATCATGGTAGTGTCTCACTGGTCTTCCAGCATGTTCTCAGCCAACACCAAAACAAGGGTGAGATATTTGCAAAAATGTTTATGTAACGAGTCAGAAAAGTAGCAGTTTGTAGACAAATCCTTGTCTAGGTTTTTATTTTTTTTAGTGGGGTCTGGGGCTCCCAGGAGTGCTAATGTGCCAGAGGAAATTTTCAGAGAAAGTGTAAAAAAAAAAAAAAGATCTATAAAATTAAACAAACAATCAATATTTGAAGTGGATCAAAGTTATACATGAATTTTGAACAATACCCCATTTTGTCTTAGGACAACTTTGAATAACTTTTTTGATCCACTTCAAATGTTGACTACTGTATATAGATGCCTTTTAAATGGTAATCATTTTACTCCGTGCATGAGTCTTGTATTTATGATTTATGAAATATATAAAATGATCAAACATACCTTAGATAAAATTATTATATTTATCTTCTATTTTAATCTAGTTTTTATTGAATCAGTGTGAACTAGTTTGTTGATATGGCCTGTCAAATAAACTGATTCAATTAAATTAATTTAAAGATTTAAATCAGAGATGCTCCCTTTTAGGTCTACTTGTATGGTCTTCAGGACACTTAATGGCCAAATAAAAGTGCAATAACCAACTAACCTTTGTTAGGCCATTAAACAGTCCATGTTCTCTCAGCCTAACAACCGTTTTATCCTGTGTGAGTGCAACAGTCCCTTGTTTGACAAATTAATTGCAGTCAGTGAAGTTATGATGGCAATTTGGGTCATTAGCATAAGTGAAAGTTCATTCAGTTTCTTTACTTGACTGAATAACTGATAACTGGGGGCTGAGAGTAGTAAATTGACATTGGTACCCAAGAATTCATATTTGGTGTCCATGTTTGTATGGTGTGTGTGGGTTAAAGTATTTTGTATTTTGGCATTAATATTGGTGAAGAAATATAGTATAATATGCAATATATCACCTTATCTTAATGCTCTGAGTGCTGGAGTGGATCCAGTCAACTAGAATTTCTGCAGTGCATTTAGCAAATTGATGGTTGGCTCATGATGGCACCTATACTGTATCGTCGTCTTACCCAAAATAACGTGGGTGTCTGGGTACTGTCGTTGACCTTTTGTCTTTGCTATATATGTTTCCTCTCTCCTACTTCGAATCGATCGAATCAAAAAATGGAATCGTCGATGCTGCCACGCCCCCATGTCACGTCGGGTCGGCGTGCCAAGCGGGAAAAAAAAACCGCGTGTTGAAAAGCTGCGAGTCTATGGTCAACCTCCTCTAACTTCGCTACAGCCATTCAAAAGATAGCATGGCAACTGCAGATGCAGGAGACCCATTGACAGAACTTGAACCCCCTTCTCTTTCATGGAAGTCGCAGGTGTGTAAGTTTTTTGGATTTCCAGTGAGTTATGTTGACAACGTTCGCGCTTCAAAAAAGCCACAGTTTACTTTGCAGACATCCCAAGTCTCACGGGAGTTCCTGGAGTCTCCCGCATATTGATAGCGGCTCCCTGATGCCCGCAAATTAGTTAAAATCTCCCGGAATCTAGAGTGAGCGAGCGAGCAAGAGGGCGCAATCACGCATGCGAGACAGAAAAAACTGTGCTCCAAACCGTATAGCGCGCGCACGGGAGAGAGTGAGAGATCTTGCGTATGTGCCTCATGAAGCGCATGTAAGACAGAGAGCATCCTGATTGGCCGGTTTCGGCTTTAAAAAAATAAATGTAAAAATCGAGAATCGAATCGAACCGTGACCTTAGAATCGAAAATTTAATCGAATCGAGGATTTGGAGAATCGTGACACCCCTAGTAGGTTTGGAGTTCCTTCTGTAAGGTTGCAGAAATGTGTAATTGTGCAGACTTTATAATAATATATAGATAAGCAGAAACACTACTTATGAATGCATAACTAGCTTTTTAATTGGCACTATTGTTGTCATTGACACCCATATCTTGTACTGGTTTTAGAGCATGCAGAGCTGGAGTCCATGTACCATCAATACGTCCAGTGTAGGTTCCAGTGGCTGTTCACATACTGGTTGTTTCGTCAGCCGACTCCGTACAACAAGCAGCTGCGCTCCATTTTCCTGCAGTGGAAGAAGCACAGCAAGAGAAAGGTGGCCACCTGGGGTGAAACACTGTGTGACGTGAGGTACCTGGCCTCCCTGCACCCCATCACCAAAGACTACTGGAGAGGCCGATTGGCCCGGGGAAATGAGAGCCTGGGTGAGTTACTTGGTTAATTAATATTTATATATATATATATATATATATATATATATATATATATTTACTACTACTGTTTATTTTACTGACATTTTATTTCTTTGATAGCATATATTTTGTGTATTTCATTTGTTCTTGTGTATAGATTTATTTAATAGCATGTATTCATTATATCTTTTGTATTCATAGTGTATTTTAATTTTATTGTTTTAGTTTAAAATGTAATAGCATGTTTATTTTTTGTATATAGATTTAACAATGCATGTTATAGCTTTATTTCCATCTAGTGGTGTTTATAGATTTAATAGCATGTATTTATTGTTTATAGATTTATTTATTAGCATGTATGTATTACTATTAATAGCTTCATTTAATAGAATGTATTTCATTTTATTTATAGCTTTATTTAATGGCATTATTATGTTTTATTTTTTTAATCCTCTGGTGTTCCTCACGTGGAGGTCAAATGGCCTTTTTTTCTCAATGAAATGTACTATGTTTTAGATCGATAATGTTTTTTTAAATTTAATATTTTGTATTTTAAGGGGATTTTATGATGACAAATTATATTTATGCAGTAGTTATATTCCATTTATTCACTTTCCGACTTAAACTAGCATAAATCTTGAATGCTTTTGAGCACAAACTTAAGTTTGGTCTCTTTTAAAAGACACATGGCAGATTATTGCTGAAGTGAGACATTTAAAAAAAGTAAACAAACATGCAATTCTATAATTATGAAAGGTGCACAAAAATATTATTACATTTTTATATGAAATGTATATTTTCCAGAACATGTTTTACTCTAAAACTGTGATAAGGTCATAAACCTCAAATTTGAAATAACTTGTTTAGATTTGTCTTTAGAGGAAATTAGCTTTTAGTAAGATTTTATTTTGACGCAGGACCGAACGCTTCCATAAGATGAAATTCATTCAATGCGGCCATTTTTGACCACAAGGAGCACAGGTGGGTTTTGTTTTTTTTAAGGACCATGTACCTTTTTGAATCATGTCTATAATGATTTTTTTAATGATTTTTCACATAGCAAGTTTTGTAGCATTTTAAAGTAAATTTTAAAAAAACAAAACGTAATTTTTTTTCTGTCAAAAAATGCCTGAAGAACACCACAGGGTTAAATAAATGAAACAGTCATTTGTAATATTGCCAGTCATTTGTAAAATTGTTTTCCTGCCTTAGTAATGGCATATTGGTCAAGCTCTGGTGGAGAATTGGCTAGATCTTTAAACCTTTGAGGAGTCAAGCGACCTGCTGTATTTGCTCATGTTTTCTGTTCTCTGTCGGTCTCATGTGGCGCTCTCTCTTGAGGAACTATACCTATACCAGTTCTTTGTCAGGAAAAGAGTCTGTAGATCAAATGTTACTGCTCCAGTCTCGTCGAATATCATCTCATGTTCTGACTGTACTTGTTTCTTTCCATCAGGGATTCAGACTGTTGGAAACTACTTCTCCATGTGTAAGTCTCTCATGGCCTGGATCTTGGGCCGCGACTGGGGCCGACTGAAGCGAAGAAAGGTACGTCTACAGAATACATGCAGGAAGCTCACACAATTTTTTTCTTTTTTCTATGACATGCACTCCTCTCTCCCTGGTGTGCATTGTGAGGTTTGAATAAATTTGACAAGCTGTCTTTCCAGGGACTAACTTTTCTTCACACATGATTGTCCCCGTTCTATTCCAACTGATCTCTCTCTTCCCCATCTTAAACATGGCAAATAAGATTCTCAGAGGAAGTGATCTTAAATATTCCAGCGGTGCTCCTCCTCTGCATTTCATTAGCCAGCGAGAATGATTTCACAGGTCACGGCGTGAGCAGACGCTCCTATCTAATGGCTGCCTAAATGGATTATAGACGAATCGGTGCATGTCTCAGTCAATTACATTGCACGTCTGACCATACAAATTCTCCCAGTATTATACACCGTTTCATAACACGTGACCATTCAAGGACACTGAAAGGATCACATTAAATGTGAATCTTATTTTTACCAACAGAGGTTAACTGCACATTATCATGGTACATGCAAAATCTCTATTCAAGTCTTATTTTAATTTACTCCTTTTTTTTGTTGTGCTTTATGAATATGCAAATGTAGGCCTGTTCCCTTACGCATGCACTTGTTCGGGAGCAAGGTCAGTTAGAATGTTGCACCTGTCATTGGCAGGTTTATGAAGACACCCTGGAGGGTGTATATCTTGTGCTGAGGCGGGACATGCAGGAGACGCTCATCGAGCACGAGCACTTCTGGCAGGTGGCCAAAGTCCAGATGACCCGTGTCTGTGCGCTGGAGGAGACGGCCGCAAATTATGTCAACTGGAAAATGATTGAGACACTCCCCTACTACAAGTCAGTCCTGCTTGAGTCTGCGCTTATGCCTGCTCACTCACCTTCTCTTGAGAATACAGAATTAGTATTGCAATGTTTATAGGAAAGGACTCATGGGCTTTTTTTTGCCTTATACTGACAGCAGGTGTTTCTTTGAATCCTATTTGTTTTGAAAAGTTAGCTTATTTTATTTTTTCATCTAAACATCAATGTATATCATTTGTAAGTATACAATTTTTCTTTTTAAAATATATTTATACATGAAAATTTGCTTTACCTAAAATACATGTCAGCTTATTTTTATTTAAACTTTGTATTTAGATTAAAAAATAAGCTAAAAATTGATCTAAAATGAAAGGCTAACATAAGTTTCTTATTCAGTTAAAAATAAGTTTTATAATTATTTCATAAGTTTATTTAAAATTAAATAAGCCAACTTAAGCCATTTACACAACACTGTTTTCAACTTCAAACCGAAAACTTTTTATTAGTTTTGGCCGTTCATTTACACGACATCTGCGTTTTGGGAGCCTGAAATTACAAACCTTTGAAAGGGTCTTTCAAAGTGCAAGTTTTTGAAAACCATACCAAAAAAAATGTGAATTTGTTGAAACTGTGTCATGCGTATTACGTGGTCAGTCTATAGGCGCGCTTTGTTTCTTTACAAAGTGACATCATTTTTAGTCGCTTTTGTGGATCCATGTGAACAGGGATTGTTTTAACATTGTCGTCTGTTAGCAAAACTTTTCATAGATGCAAAGGAAAAACATTTTTGTTCTTAGTACATCGTTCCCATTGATCACTCTAGGCTGTAAAGTGTTGCTGTCACTCAAATGGCTGTTTCCACTAAACACTAGTGGTGAAGGCATTGAGCTTTACCAGTGGTTGGCTTTCAGACTGGGCTTTGAAGCTTAGAGTGCGCTGGGAGGAGATGGCAGCTTCAAAAAAATACCCTGCAGTGACTTATGGGCAGTCAGTCGATGACATCTTTGAAGTGTATGGCTACTGATCTCAAAAGGCATGGACTGAACTGTCCGGTCCCACAGCGTCAGAGGAAACCAAGAACAGTGTTGTGAAGAGTTAAGTGGGATCATGTTCCTTGAGGGCGATCGTCTTGCGTAAGTAGATGTGAGTGATCGACGTGGTAAAGTGCTCACTTGAAGAAATGAGATGACTGAATGTTATGGTGCTGTTTAGCCATGCAGTGATACTGATACTGGCTGATTAAATATTTTCATGCCATGACACTTAACTCAAAATAAAAACTTTTTTTTTGAGTTTTGTGCAAATAAAATGTTCTAGTTTTGTAGTTGAGCACTTCTCGGCTATCTAATCTCTCCATCTAATTGGTCATTAGCATTCAAACCGTCAGTGCTGCTTGGCTGGTTTTAAATGTAACTAATAATCCACATTTGAAAAATGTTTGAATTTGTACAGCAAACTGAGTTTTCTTAAGCGCTTTTCATCCGGGGTGTTATGTTTGAAGCTGAGACAGTCTCTTGAGATTTCCTTCTGTATAATGACTGTGAAGATGAACGCCTTGTTGTTCAGAAGTGCTTGGAAAAATGACTTTCCCCGCAAAAGCTTTTATATTTGTTTTTGGTTTTTAATTCTCTTTGTGGCTTATTAATAAAGGTTGTCTTATTCCCCAAGCTAATGAAAAAACATAATTAGACTTGTCTATTGCCTTGTGTAGTCTTTCATAATGGTTTTCCAGTTCATGCGTGTAATGTGTGTTTTTTTTTTTTTTTTAAGGCTGTATCTGGTGTCTGGTAATTCCGTGTACCTGGATCATGTGCAAGGTTTCTTGCGTAGAAAGAGGATAATCCGGGATTGGATTTACCTGGAGGAGAACGTCTGGGCTAGACAGTTGCTTCCTGAATCGCTCTACACATTGCTGGAATTTGACACCAAGATATCTCAAGGTGGGTTCAACTGACCTAAAACGACCTTTCCGTTTAAATCATTGGCTCTCACTCAGAGGCTGGAGGCCTCAAACTTCCAAGGGGGCCCCAAGATGACTTAATCATTTAAAATAAGACCAATCAAGCATTAAAACGGCTATATATATAAAAACCAAATAATCTTTCTAGTTATGCAAAACTCAAATAGTTTATCAGGTATAAATTTAGTGTTGTGGTGGGGGGCCTTCAAATATTGTTGTAGAGATGACAATGGGGGTCTTGAAGTCTAAAAAGTTGAGATCCACTGATATGACTACAGGGCAGCTGGAGCTAGAGCTGCACGATTAATCTTTAAAACATCGCCATCTTGATTCTTATTCCTAAATCACAACGTTTCTCCCATGTCTATTAAACCTTTGACAAAAATACACCGGAACATTCAAATGAGTTTGCGCTGCTGGTGACCCAGAGAAAGCAGTTATGTCTAGGTATGAAACTGTCTTTTCAACCACACAGTACTTCTGTAAACATTTGAATATTTATAACACAAATAAAGGCCTGTTCACACCGGAACGAATTTCGCACGGGATATTAGCCGATGTTTAACGCCTCGTGACTAAACAAAGGGCGCCAGTGTGAGTGTGCACACCGACGCGAAAAACGGCACGCGTAAAAGCGTCATTTTTTTAAAAACGCCTCGGGTTCGTTTTTTTGGTACGTCAAAACTATCCGACCAATGAGATTGGCGCTTTTGCTCACGTGTCTGGAGCTTCTGAAGTTACAGTAAAACACAACTTGGGGGCGCTCAAACACAAAACGGTCTTGCTGAGCACACATACGTAACGGCGAAGATGATGCGCCAAGTAGCGTCTACACCATAGATATCCATAATAAAGGCTAGATGTCTGGCCAAATATGGCCTTTATTATGGATATCTATGGTCTACACTGCCGGGAAGAAATAAGACGAGGAAGATGCAAGGCAAGAGGAATGTATAGAGCTGCTGGTCTCGTTGGTGTCGGAACATAAAGAACTATATGACAAACGCGACAGTGACTACAAAATAGGACTATTTCTGTTTTACATTAAGCGCCATCTAATGTCAGGGAATGACTTTGCATGTTCACTCGGCTCATTGTTAGCGAAGATCGCTTGGGTGTGAACACAAAAAACGCGTTGAAAAACGCTGACGAATAACGCGCGCCGATATTTGTCCCGGTGTGTACGGGGCTTAACAATACTGAGATGAGTGTATAGTTCGGATATAAACACTGTCTACGGAAGTGATCAAAATGGAGTATATCACCTTTTGAAAGTAACTTTATACTTAAAGATTGTATCAATTACATCATTACACCTGTTGGTGGTGACGTGTGACTATTAAATGTTTTTGCCATTTGTTTTTGAAAGAATCTCTTGAATGATTCACTGATTCATCCAGGAGTGATTCACTGATTCATCCAGGAGTGATTCACTGATTCATCCAGGAGTGATTCACTGATTCATCCAGGAGTGATTCACTGATTCATCCAGGAGTGATTCACTGATTCATCCAGGAGTGATTCACTGATTCATCCAGGAGTGATTCACTGATTCATCCAGGAGTGATTCACTGATTCATCCAGGAGTGAAACAAGTGAAGTATTCGAGTCAGTGAATTGACATTTTGTTAGCCTAGAAATCTAGACGCACCCTAGCGGCAGCAAAAATCATTTCGCTGCCAGTGTGGTCTAGCAACTCTCCATAGACGTTTTAGCTGGAAAAACCAAAAACTGGTCAGGCCAATCACATCGTGTATAGAGTTGGTGGGCGGGCTTAACACAATGACGGCAGAGTTGCGACGGTCAGAGCAAGCTCGGACATATTCGGTTTGAAGTCATTCATCCTCGGATGCGGCGCCGCGCGCACTGTTACAAAAAAGCTGTGGCGAAACGATCAACTTGTCATTTTTGCCGCACTCGTGCGGACGCGTCGAGTATAAAGGCTTTATTTACTCCGTGTCAGCGCGCGCTCTGATCGGTAAAGGATCCCTTGTAAGCTGATATTAGTATTTAAACATTCTCTATGATATTATTATTTTAATGACAAAAAATGTTTTAATGACTCTTTCTCTCTCTCTCTCTCTCTCACACACACACACACACACACACACACACACACACACACACACACACACACACACACACACACACACACACACACACACACACACACACACACACACACACACACATACTGTCTCTTTCTCTCTCACACATAGGCTAGTTATAAACTCTTTAGACTTTTAATGATTAGTGTTTTATTTTTAAAGTTTGTGGGTCGTGTAAAAAACAAAAAAAATCCCTTATTTTGGGGATGGATTCCTGGAAATCTCCCTTATTTTCAATGTTCAATGTTGACAGCTATGGACTGGATACGGTAAAAGTTTAATATATCAACTTGCTCCGCTGACTACGTCCCCTTCTTCGTTGCTCTGATTGGTTGTAGCGCTATCCAATTGCGTGCTGAGAGAATTTGAAAGACAACCGTTTATCCCGCCCATCAGATTGAGCCCTGTCAATGATGAGTTCCCAGACCTAACATCTTGATGTAGGTCTGGCATGCCAGGCTAACATTTTGTCAGAGCCTCTAGTAAATTACATGTCATTTTATTTAGTTGTCTGTTCAGATCTGTTTGAAACAAAGTTGTGATTATCCAGAATTGTGCAGCTCTAACTGAAACCAGTTATTCATAGTACAGTAACAGATTTATCCCCCATTTTAAATGACTAAGCCTGGTCGATGCTTGTGGGTCTTCTGAGACCCTCGGTCTCATTTTTGCTGTCCTCCTCGTCTCTACTTAACATTAGCTGATGCAGCCTCTCTCAACGCTGCTCGCCAAGTTGGTTCAGCAGATTTGAAGTGTTGGTGTTAATCCTCATTCCTCTGTGTGGTCTCGACCGCTCACAAAGTTCATGACATTTTCATTAGCAGGATCTTTCGTTTCAAAGCATCTTATAGGAATGTGTCTTGTGTAAGTGCCTGTTTAGTGCTTCTCAAATATAAGGATAAGCTGCTCTGGATGATGATTAGTAAATATTGTAATCTTACAAGCCTTAAATGCAGTTATGAGGGTTGGATTAACAGTGCTTAAAGTCGCCATGAAATCTCTTTTTTTTTGGGAATGTGGTAGTATTATTCTTTTTTTCATGTGCCCTGTAATTTAATGATAATAACTTGCATCGACTTCTGACGCATTTATTGGCAGGACGGGGCAACCTGTCACTCACATGACATCACAGCAATAGCAAACCACAACCGTCCAATCAATTCCCAATAGACACTATCAAGTCCCGCCCTTTTTTTCATTTTTTTTTCTCGGAAGCTGTTTCACTCGGAAGTTGAGATGGATGTACATCACAATATGGAAGAAAAGACCATTTCATGCTGACTTTAAGTATGTTGCCTTGTTAAAGTAAAACTACAAAACATTTGTTAAATGAAATGGATTAAAAACAAATGAACAAACTCTTGTTCATTATTGTATAAACCTTAGAACAGACACCGCATTTGATTTGACAAGAATGCTACAATTGCAGACGTCACAAGTACTTTGTTCATTCAGGAAGTACATTGCAGATTTGCTGGTTGGTGTACTAGTGGAACCATAGTAAGGATTCAGTCTGCTTTAATTCACCTCTTCCTGTCTGAGAGAGATCCATCAGGGGTCTGAAGAAGGAATGCTGTAAAATTTGATTAGGATTTATGAGGGAGCCGTTCCATCTCTCCGTGACCCATAGGCATGAGTAATGATGCTCCGTTTATTTGCAGGCTCAGTCTCAAGGCAATTTATCTTGTTTACCATCTTAAAAATAGTTGATGCAGATTCTTCTTGGTCCATTCAAATCTATCGGACTAGAGATTTTTGCAGTCTAATCTTCAATGAGGTGTGAGATGCATTAAGGTTTGTTTGTAGAGCTCTAGATAAGTGGATGTCTACAATGGCCAAGGTTGATGCATATCGAACAGACAATTTATTGAACCCTACAATTTAATGAAAGGTAATGAGACTTGCACAATTTTAAATTGACTGAATTGTTAAAACGTAAACCAACAACTTTGTTATTATGCTTTAAAATAAAGTGCTACCAATGTTAGTATGTACATGGAAAAAATTACTAAATAATATGTACTTATAGTAATTACAATAACTGGGTAATAACCCTGAACCTAACCTTAACCCATGTAAACTTATTACCCAGTCCTTTCTAACATGTGTACACATACTGTAAAAGAAAGTGCAACCAAGTTTCTTTAAAAATACTGTGTATATAATACAAATAAATCTTTTACCCAATTCATTAAATAGAATTGTCATTTAATTTCTTTTTGCACATATTTCCCATCAAATAATATTGTGTACTTCAGCCTCCTTGCTGTCGTATCTGGATTGGCCACTAAAGTGTTTGGTTTGGTTGATGATGGCCATCAGCCTTTCCTAGCATTCATGTCTGTGGCTGTTGTGTTTGAACAGAGAGTTTGCACGGGGACTCTGTGGCGTCCCAGCTGAGTCGACTCATGTGGCTGTACCTGAACTCGGGTCAGGAGCTCTATCTGGAGGCGCTGAAGGGAATGGTGCTGCAGTGCGCTCAGCTCTGTCTCCATCACCTCGGCACGCTTCAAGCGTAGACCTGATACAGACCCAAACATTTTAACTTTTTTAACTGACTTTTTAAATTATTTTTATAACATGGCTACTCTAAGAAGATTGTATTTTTACTTTTTTTTTTTTTTTTTAAGCTTCATGCTTAAGTGCACAAACCCATTCATTCTCAATTTATGTCTGAGTAAATGTAGTGCACATGCACCGTTAGTTGTTTTTATTCTTGTATTGGTTTTAGCAATCCAAATGATCACTAGTCTCCTTTCGAGATGCTTTTTAATGTTACTATCATGTGAATTTTAACTTGTTAATCTTGTCATGATAGACTGCTGGTTAGTTTGCTGACCTTGACTCAAGGTTGCTGACTTATTAAAGCACCTTTACACCACACACTTCAAAGCTTGATGATTTTTTTTATATTAACAAAAGGAAGGGAAAAAAACAAAGTACAGTGCATATAGTTTTGAAAAATGTCTAGTTGAAAAACCGCCTTGCCATGTCAAATTAAGTGAACTGCAGTGACTTTTTTATACTTTAATTTTTTTTCTTTAATTTTCCATTAATTTACCTTAATCGAAAATGTTGATCACTATGCCATAATCTCACCCTTTTTGGTGGCCAGTCACAGCACCTGAAATATGCGCTTTAACTTATAACTTATAACCTTATGAGGTGTCCACTTCCCTTTAATAAAATGTTAATCTACATCAGTGGTTCCCAGTCCCAAAACTAGCACTAGTTTTTATTAATAGTTAAGTTGGTATGAGCCACTACAGTCGTTCAATAATAAATAACACCAAGTGAAAATAGTGGCATTTTGGGGTTACGGAAACAACCGTGACCATGTTGAATACACAATACTAACAGGAACTTACTAAAACACATGGACGCTGATCCTGATGATTAGAATAAACATCCTACATGCATGCGAAGCCTTCCCAGCTAACACACGACTTACCAGATATGTTTTTTATTTTATTTGGTTCTTCACTTTTATTTCATGACTTACTGATTTAAAATGTAACTCTGTTGCATGCTCGTAATTGATAGTTAAGTGATATACAGCATGCGCCTCAGAGTACAGTATAATGTCTGACAGGAAAGTTCACTTTTCTAAGATGAGAGACTTTTTATTATAAATATTAGAATGAGACTGGCATATAGCCTTATCTTATCTGACCAGATACTGAAGAGGGACGCGTTTTAAATTTGTTTTTTTTAGACACTTCAAACTGTCGGAGTCGACAGCGTTCATGCCCATCTTTCAAACTTTTCTTTGACTGCATGATCCACATTTTCTCTGTAGACTTATTGTTAGCAAAAACAAACCAACCAATGTAGAAAAATACTTTATTTAACATTTGTACAAATGAAAAGCATTTTACAAAATGGAAAAATAGTTAATACTTTTGAGGAAAAAATTACATAAATAGACCTTTGGCTTTTGTAAAATCTAGCTGGAAAATTAAAAGCTTAAGATTTAAAAGACTGATGTGAAGTTCAAACATACTGTTGAGCCAACCAGTGGCTTTTAGTGCACAGCGAGTCGGTCATGTCAATCAATGCACACATTGCTTTTATATTCTCATATATATATATATATATATATATATATACACACAATTCAGCATGCTATCAGATATCACACTGTCCTGTAATGCACGATGACGAGCACCACATACATTCTCCATCAGGTTAACATCTCTTTGCCTGAGAATAAATATGCATTGCTTGTGAATATGGCTTAGCTCGCCTGCACCTTTATGACAAAGTTCTCCGAAAAAACTGTCTCTGCCAGTTATGGAAAATACCCTTCGCTTACTGTCGTTCAGCTGCATAGATTCTAAAAGGCACAGAACAATATTAAATATCTGCAGAAATGTGTAATAAATGCTGGTTAATGTGAGGTTGCATAGCACAGTATACTTGTAATATTTAGCTAATCAATTCCTTTACATAAAAAGAAAACTAATTCTAACGCTATGCACATGCACAAGATATTATGAGCACATTATGACAAAACCTCCATTTGAAATTCTAAACATGCTTAATATACGTTTAAATACGATGAGATTAGTCACAATACATGAGCAGTAAATTGACATTTGTACTGTAAATATTTCAAACATTCATCACCTCGATGCAAATACGTGTGCAGAGGTTGACATGACCGCATCTCTGGACTTTACATTATCAACTATAAAAAATATTCAGCTTGGGGTCAAAATGAACTTAAAGAGTTAAATCTCAGAACAACAACGAATGAAAGAAAAGTCTAAAAATACCTGAGTGAACAAGTTTTTGCATTGATTTCATTCATATTCCTAATTGTAACAAGGACTATATGTATTATCTGGAGTATATAAACTGTCAGGAGGTCACAGGAAGTGTGTCATCTGCAGAAACATTCTGTTTCCTGTCTGACTTAGGAACTCAACATGTGCAACTTGTTCTGAACTGAACTGTGCCGCAGCGCTAAAAAAGCAGCTCATATTTTATGCTAATTAAAAAGTTAAACGGTGTCCTTAATAGATTAACCTGGATTCCTTTGCTGTCTTTTATTTTTAAACGAAACATTTCCGCTAGTTTTTATGGAAGCGCAAATGTACTTCAGATGAGATGCAGAGGATCCTGAATGTCGACCTGCGACCTGTAGCTGTAGGGGAGAGGATGGACCAGCTTCTTTGGGTAAAAATGACTGACTTCATGAAGTTTGGAGGTACAGAAACAGGAACACAAGGCACTTTAGGACACCACTTGCTCTACTTTCCCTCAAAGACGACTGACAGGACCAGCAAGGCCTCCAACAGTCTCAATAAATATATTAAAAACGCATTCATTCAAACTCCTTGTCCACAAGAATACAAAAAAATAATGATCGTCTTGTAAAGACATCCTTGTAAACTGGATTCACAGCTTGGTCCAACCTTTAGTAGTCAGAAAGACCTTGTTTGTTTCTATCAGGATGACTTTATTCTCCCTTTACAAGCACTCTGTAGAGATGGAAGCCTCTGGAGTCGGGTGTCATTGCGTCACACAGTTCTCACCCATGTCCTGTGCGTACCGGTCCGAGATGACCGTCCGTAGCTCGTCAATGTCTTTCCTCAGCTGGCACACCTCCACCAGCTTGGCCCGCAAACCGTCCTCCATCAGCGGCTTCTCGCTCTCCTCCGCCGAGCAGCCCATCGCTGGAAAAAACCAATCGGGTATATTCATTCTATTGGCTGAGACTCTTTTTATGTGGGTACTTTATTTTAAATTACATGTCATTTGAACACGTCACATCATGTTTCACATATTACAGAAGCTAAATGAGTCGAATGAAACATTTGATTGATTCCAAAAAAAAAAAAAAAAAAATCTTAATGTTTTTCAAAGAAGTCTCATGCTCACCAACGCTGCATTTAGTTGATGAAAAATACAGTAAAACCTATAATATTAAATAGCAGATTTCTGTTTTAATGTATTTTCAAATGTAATTTATTCCTGTGATATCACAGCTGAATTTCCAGCATCATTACTCCAGTCTTCAGTGTCACATGATCCTTCAGAAATCATTCGTATATGCTGATTTGCTGCTCAAGAAACATTTATGATTATTAATGTTGAAAACGCTTGTGCTGCTTCATATTTTTGCGGAAACCGTAATACTTTTTTTTTAGGGTTCTTTGATGAACAAAGTACATTTATTTGAAATACAAATCTTTTGTAACTAACATATGTCTTTACTGTCCCTTCTGATCAAGTTAATGCATTTTTGCTGAATAAAAGTACTTTCTTTAAAAAAAAACCCCAAAAAACTGACCCTAAACTTTAAAAACAATAGCATTTTTTCATACTGTGCAATATAATGTTGTGATGCACTTTTAGCATTCAAAACGATTTATTTGTGTTCTATTTTAAATATTGAATTTAAAAAAAAGCAAGAAAGAATATGAAATTAAAATTACAAATGCTAAAAGTGACGAGATGCACAGAACTTTAATACCTTAATGTCTAATTTAAAGTCAAACAGGCTTATGCTGGATTACTAATAATGCCAATAAATAGTACTGTAAGAGTTTTATATGTTCTGAATAAGTATTTACATTTGATGCCGAGCAGCAGGGCCAGATTGGGCTCTTTGCCTTGAGCTCTCTGTGTAAGGACACTGCATAGGCCCTTAAGATCCAACAGACACAGGGACATCTCCTTCAACAGGGGCCCGGCCTCCTTCAGACACGGCCCGGGGCTCTCCTCGTCTGCCCGCCTTCCATTCTGTGGAGATAAAAACACAAAAGCTTTACACACTCCTCCCTGTGTCACACAGCAGGGGGAATCAGGACAGAGCCTTTAAAGGGACTTTCATTTTAAATCATGGAAGTACAACGAAGCCCTGGCTCGTCACATTCGCCACTGGAGCTTTGAGAGAATCGCTATTTTCACCTTCAAATGCTATTACGGACACAAAGAAGTGTTATTTCAGCATTTTACGCTCGTCCTCTGTAGTGTGGGAAGAACTTTTCAGAGTTTTGGACCGTAACGTTGATGATTAGGCTTATCCGAAGCAGAGTCCTGATACAGATTACCAGCGGAACACGTTCTTATTTCTCAGAGCACAAGAACGAAATCACAAGCAACTGTTTGTGCAAACTAGCCAAATCATTGAACAGTGAGAGGTGGATTTACACAGCGGGACAAAAGCAAGAGTGGAGGAGAAATGATGCCGTGAGCTATTGGGACGGTGGGATAAAATCTGCTCATTAGGAGGGAACTCATCTAACCTGAAGAGAGATTTTCTGTGCATTGTACATTAGGAGGACCAGTGTTATTGTAGTACCACTGAGAGACTATTACAGTTTTTATTCATATTTTGAATTAGATTTTATGGTCATATTTTTCATTTTATTTTCATTTTAATCTTAGGTAAAGGTTTAGTAATTTTAGTGGTTTTGTTATTTGACTTTTTTTTTATTTTTTATGTTTAAATATGGCTATATAGTTAATTTTTATTTCCGTTTTTAGTTTTACTTTTTTTTTTTTAGCACATCAAGTTAAAATGAATAAAAATGGGAAACTACCTGAAATGTTTTTTTTTAAGTATCTTTTTTTTTAAGTATCTTTTTTTTATGCTTTTAGTTTGTTTCAGTTATAATAATGACCCTGATTAGGACTATTAAAAAAAGGAATATGGACTTCAGAGAGGATGCACTTTTACACGTGGGCTTTAATAATAATCAATCAGCTTTGCAAGTACTAGTAATTTCACATAGCTAATAGTTACTCGACGTTTGGTAGATGTTTGCAACTAATTAGTGTCAGAGCTTCTAGAATTTCCCAAAAAATAAATAAGAAAAAACTGAGTGCACAGTAAAGGTCTATTAATGAGTCACAACAAAATTGCACACACAAATCTAAGAAAGAAATTAGACAAAAGCTACATCTGAACTCACATACTGAGTACCTACACTACTGTTCAATTAGATTATTTTATAAAGAATTTTTTTTTTTTTACTTTTATTAATCAGGAGTTCGTTAAATTGATCAAAAGTGACAGTAAAGACATTTATAATGTTCCATTCTATTTCAAATAAAAAAAAATATTCATCAAAGAACCCTAAAAATGTTTCAGTTTCCACAAATATTTTCACATTTGATAATATTAAGAAATGTTTCTTGAATATATAAAAATACAATATATATTAAAACAGAAAACAGTAATGTTAAATTATAATATTTCACACAAAATGTTTGTATTTTTGAGCAAATAAGTGCAGCCTTGGTGAGAAATCTTACCGCCCGCACTTTTTAACAGTAGCAAAACACATCTGTTAATGCAGATTTGCTTTAATGCAAAATATAAATCTTTGCTAAAATGTAACAAATATGGTGTAAAGCTACTTTTACGTAACAGTTGCTTGGAAAGGACACACTTTTTGTTTAACTTTCCAGGATCTGTGATTTAAAAATGATAGGGAACTACATTTTGAGGGAACCACATTACTGTCCACTGTGTAAGAATATATGCAGTCATCCTTGACATGGGATCTGTTACTGTATGCTGGGTCTCGCACAAGAAACCAAGTCAGACAATCCATGCTAATAATCTGGTGTGTCCCTGTTGCAGCTCTGTATGATGTGCGGCCTCTGTGCTCGGCTCCACTGTTGTCTCTGTGGATCACACATGACTGCGGCTCAGTGAAACTTCCTGTTCTCCCTCACCTTGAGACGGCGCAGAGAAAAATGACGTCCTGAATTCTAATAGCGCGCTGAGGGCCAGTTGGGTTATTCATGACTCGACTGCCACGAAAAGCAGGGCGGAGAATTTAATGACACAAAAATGAGCCTTCAATCAAGCTTCTAACTTGCGCCACAAGGCTCATCTGTATCGTTTAGGATGAAAAAGTCTTAGCAGCACTTTAGAGTCCCTTTGTGGGTGTTTTAGAGTGCCGTACCTGCTGAAGAGTTGTGGAGAGCGTTTCAAGTTCCTCCTCGCGTTCCAAGAGCTGTTTGCGGAGTTCCTGCGTGATCCCCCTCTCCCTCTGCAACTTCTTTTCCAGGGCCTGAAAGACAGCGGTTATGATGTGCATCCTTAACAAGCCTGCTTTGATTACACTATTCAACATAAGCATCAACATGCAAGACACCGTCCCATCATCCTTCCAAGAATAAGAGATAACAATGCAAACCAGTATTATTATCCAAAAGCTTCCAGAACAAAAGGTAGAAAATGACATCTTACCGACATCTCCAGAGTGAGCTTGTCAATTTGCTCCTTATGATTGTCGATCAACTGAAACAAAACCAAGAAATGGCAAATTACACAACTGTGAAGTTTGTATAATTTGAATGCACAGAGAAGGGAAAGCAGCTAATGAGTATCCAACATACCGGTGGAGGCCTTCGATACTGTTTAAAAAGCATCCCAAGACAAAAAGTGACTACTTGCATGAAATAAAAAAATAAAATAAAACTTAACAATTTTTGGTCACTTCCAGGGCTTGACATTAACTTTTTTGCTAAGCAGCCACTGTGGCTAGTGGTTTTCCAAAGTTACTAGCCACTCTGCATTTTCACATCGATACCATGGGGAAACACTGCCATTTAGATATGTTTAATATTATCTCATAATTAGCAGCAGGTATATTAGGCTGCTGTCACTTTAAGACCTGACGCACGGATCCTTTATACTGTTATACATGACCAATGGTATTTTTACATTATTTTGTGTGTATTTGACTGTTTAAGTGCAATAAATTTATAATAATAATAATAATTCATCACATTTATATAGCGCTTTTTTGGACACTCAAAGCGCTTCACATAGAAGGGGGAATCCCCTCAACCACCACCAATGTGCAGCATCCACCTGGATGATGCGACGGCAGCCATATTGCGCCATAACGCTCACCACACACCAGCTTACTGGTGGAGAGGAGACAGAGTGATGAAGCCAATTGGTATATATATACATGGGGATGATATGGAGGCCATGATGGACAGAGGCCACTGGGCAAATTTGGCCAGGATGCCGGGGTTACACCCCTACTCTTTCGAAAGATCTGGGATTTTTTGTGACCACAGAGAGTCAGGACCTCGGCTTAACGTCTCATCCGAAGGACGGTGCTCTTTGACAGTATAGTGTCCCCGTCACTATACTGGGGCGTTAGGACCCACACAGACCACAGGGTGAGCGCCCCCTCCTGGCCTCACTAACACCTCTTCCAGCAGCAACCTGGTTTTCTCAGAAGGTCTCCCATCCAGGTACTAACCAGGCTCAGCCCTGCTTAGCTTCAGTGGGCAGCCAGTCTTGGGCTACAGGGTGATATGGCTGCTGGCCAATTTGTACTTTATGTGTGCGCACAAAATCTGCGGGAATGAGTAAAATTATGCGCAAATGCGCTCAATCCCACGCCGAAATTCAAGACAATATTCATCCGGAGCAAATGAAATGAGTGAGTGAGGGGAGGCAGGTTTGTGTGTCAACTCGCTGTCAGAAAGATGAGAAAGCGAAGCTGGTATTGTGTATCTATTCTGCGGGAAATGAGTATTGGAAGCGTTTCGGTTATTTTAGTATCGATATGTATCAAAAAAGCTATATTTTTGACAACACTACATTGCACTTATTTCCGATGCCTTTTTTTAAGTCTACAATTTAAAAATGTATATATTATATATAAAATGTATCTGCCAAATTGGCTAGTAGGAGTGACTTTGTTACTCGCATTTGGCGGGTTGGAGGGTGTTAACGTTCAAGCCCTGGTCATTTCCATTGGTTTGGTTATTTCATAGTATTTATAACTTGAAATAGGTAGCTTTGACTAGTATGTTTGAACGGTTGAATGTAATCTAGACAGAATTTTTGGGCATCATATGTGGGAATGCGCATATGATGCCAAGTGGTGTCTAGGTAGGCAGCTCACTAGGTTTTAAATAATAAGAGAACAGAAATTCTTATATATATACACTGTCTCTTTATACCTACATGTTTTGTCTTTGGTGTAAAATTTCAATATATCAGTGACTTAAAGATTTATAGTATAATGTATTCTAATGAAATCTGGGCATAAAAGGAATTATGGAAACTGGACTGGTAAGTGTCATTAGGTGCATCATGGGAGATCAGTACCAGGCTGTTCTGGCTCTGTTGTTCTAGTAGCCGAGTGTTTTCCTTCTCCAGCTGCTTCAGGTCCACCATGGGCAGCCGTACTCCATCCTCTAAACACTTCTCCACCTTCTCTTGTAGGCTACAAAAAGATGTTTTACAGTACTCTTATCATTCAGCGAGTAAAGGCAGAGAGAAATCTCGACAGCTCCTTCATATATATCAACGCTGCTGTGGCCTTTCCAAGTTGAGGATTGGCCTGATTTCATCCCCATGTTTACATGTTTTAATAAGAGTACACAGCACTTTGATCTTCAGCTCACTTAACAAGGATTGAGCACTCTATATATAAAAAGTGGCTTTCAGAAAGAAACCAAATCAAAAGCAATGCTTCTGGCTGTGAGGTCGTCTCAATAGAGCGAGCGAGTAAGTGCAGTACCTTTGAACAGCAGCCACAAGCTCTTTCTCCCGCTTGGATTGGGTCTCGATGAGGGCATCTTTCTCCGGCAGCAGGGCTCGGTTCTCCTCCAGGGTTTTCTCCAGATGGGCTACGGTGTCCTCCAACGCCTGCTTCTTCCCCTGCACTTCCTGCAACTGAGTAACGGACGGAGATGAATACAGTAATGCTACTTCACATCAATGCTTTAACACTCTACACACCTTTATAAAGATTGTTTTGTTATGTTTATTCTGCACATAGTTCGTGCAATTTTATTTTGGATGTAATCATTATTTTTGTCTTGCTTTCCAGCAAATTGATGTTTAAATATGTACCATTACTAAATCAAGGTAAATTTAATTGAGAACAAACATTTTGTAAGACACAAATGCATTATTTGAATATTAGTAATTTAATATTTATTAATGATTTTATTTTGTTTATGGGTTTATTTTTCTTATCCAAGAAGCTTTCTTTTTTTTTTTTTTGTATAAACCTTACAAATTTTGTGAGATTTATGCTCAAAACAAGACAAAACTATTTGTCAGTGGGGAAAGAAACATAAAATAAATTAATAAATAAATGTTTTTTAACCATTTTTGGTCACTACATAATTCTCATACTTTCAATTGTGTTAATTCTTCTTTGATATCTTCACTAAGTTAAATTTAATATTGGCCAGAACTTTTTTAAATAAAATAAAATATATTAATTCAAGAGTTTTGCCAAGAGTTTGTCTTATACAAATTTATCTTTTTTTTATTCTGATAATTTTTACTAAAAGATGGAAGACTATTGATTAATAAAATGATTTTTGCAGTTAACTGTAATGTATTTAATCCAATATCACAGAAAATGTCTGGCTCAAAATGACAAGAAGAAAGGTAAGAAAAATATGACTCCAAACAATTGTTGGACTGTCAGATAATATTAATCCTCTTACGGTTGTGCATACTAGTAAACTGCACAAAAATAATGATTTAATAACCCACAAGTAAGATTATTCCCAAACATAATGAAGAGTGCCTGCTGTCACATTAGCAGCTGTTTGCGCGGATCTATTAGCAGAACACCATGGGGAATGGCACTGCTATGTTGGTTTAGGAGACGTTAATTATGCCCTCATTAACTGAACCAAGAACACTTTTGATTTTTGAGGCTGACAATCAGATTTAAAGTTGGATAAGTTTGTGACCAACTTGGAAAAGGTGGCATCTGAGGTGTTGGAATTGTAATCAGAAAAAAAGAAGTAGTAGTAATAAGGCAGTAATTAAGTGTTAAAAATAAGGATTTGATTCTCATTTTGATGAACCATAACGATTCTTAAATCCCAAGAATGGATCTTTTAGTCTGATGTTTTCAGTTGATGAATGAACAAAACTGAACTGATCATCTATACTGCTTTACTACTAGTAACAGCACAAAATAAACATGAATTAACATCAGAAGGTTTGTAATCACTCAATCAATGTTTTAACTGGAGAAAGACATCAACTTGAAAAACAAGGTCATCTAATGTTACATTTAACCCATTAGTCAGCTAGAAAAATTAACTCTAGAGAGGATCATTTTGATAAATATATGCACTATATTGCATATCTATTGTATTTTTACTAACCTGTTCTTCAATATTTAATGTTTTTAAATAAATCCATCATGTTTTTATAACAGGCACCATTTAAATATTTATATTTAGAAGAAATGAGTAGAAACATGTCATTAAAAAGTCATTATAACATTATTATTATATAAACTTTCTTATGTGTAATTTAAAAGTTAGTAGCCTGTACAGATCAGTTAATTTTAACCTTTAATATTATAGTAATGTACCAACTGGGGTTTCCTGTATAGTTTACAGCATTAGCTGAGACAATTTTTTTTTCCATGTACTGTAGCCCAATTAATCGATATCGAATCAAATTGAATCGAAACTGGAATTGAATCGAATCGCAAGCTTGTGAATCGAAATCGAATCAAATGGTGAAATTTGGGTCAATACTAGGGTTGGGTACCGAAACTCGGTGCCAATAGGGAACCGGTTCCGACGTAAACGGTAGTAACCAGACCGAATAAGAACGACAATTTCGGTGCCTGATTTCGGTGCCTGACTTAATTAGGCACACACGCACACACACACGCACAGTCTCTTCTGTCTCGCATGCGCGCTCTTGCTCGCAAGGTTTGGCTGCATTTCACGTGTAAAATTATGCGTCAGAACGGGTGTGCCGATAGTCTGAATCCATATAGAATCAAGCCAATTCATTGGCTGATGGCGCGGGCGCCGCCTTGACGCACTTACGTCGTCATATTATGTTGGCGCGCGCGCGCCATCTGCTCCTCAGATTTCTTTGCCGAAAAAGGAAGCTGGTCGGCAGCGCAAGGAGCTTGGCAGCGTCTCGTTCTCTATTGAGAGAACATATGTTACACCAGTAACCAGAGATGTTCTCTTTCATAGGTTCACTCAACGCTGCGTAGCTAAGAAGCAGTGGATTTGTATTTGTAGGCTGCTGTATCACGTGCCGTTTGAACTGACGCGCTACAGCGATCTGTCACATTTCAAAGAGCCAAAACGTTATTTATTGTGTGAATCTCGTAAAAATATTGACAGAATCTGACAGCTGTGGATTTGTTTCATATCAAAAGTAACCTTCTCTGTCGGTGTCAGTGTCCTCTTTGTCCGCGATTTTTCTCTGCGTGAGAAAATGGATGTGTGGCGTGCGTGAGAGCGTGTGAAAAGGGTCAATTGCGTGAGTCTCACGGTCAATGCGTGAGAGTTGGCAGCTCTGCCTGCTAGTAATCTCTATTAATCTCCAGTATTATTACATTGTTTGATACAATATTGTTTTATTTGATATGTAAATGTGAATTTTTATTTTATATTGGTTTTATTATTATTTGTATTTATATTGTTTAAAGATTTAAGTTAATATTGTGTCCAGTTTGGCCCTGTAAATAAAAGGGTATTATTTTTTGATAAAGTGTGTGCGGTTTCGTTTTCTTAAGTACCGTTTCAAGAACCGTTTAGGCACCGGAACCGTTTAAAAAATACCGAGTAGGTACTGGTATCGGATAAAACCCAACCGATACCCAACCCTAGTCAATACCCAGCGCTAGTGGCAATGATTTTGGAGAATGTAAAACACAATCACTAGTTTTGCAGTTTAGGACTTTTGCACGTACCTGCTGAGCCTGTGTCTGGACCTCGTCCAGCGAGGGCAGGTCTGCCAGGTACTTCTCCAGCGTCTCGATGCGCTGCTGCTTCTCTTGATTCTGCTCCTGTTCACGCTGGCATTTCTTCTTCAGACTGCTGATGTAACGGTCACGTGTTTTCATCTGTTCGGAAGCACAGAGCATATTTGTTCAGCTTCAGTAGGGCATGTGAAACAATTGGTCTTATTTAGTAAGCGTGCGTACGCACTAATTTGAGCGTGAAATCTGTGTACGAACGTTTTCACGAACGAATCATGATTCACCTCATACTAAAATGTATTGTAAATACACAAAAATGTAGGAACAACCGAAACCAGACATACGCAAAAAATCACATATTCAAAATGGCCGTCCGAAAATTACATTTTATCTAGAGATATTTCCTCTTAAATTTATTTAAACAAAAACAGAGAGAAAGAAAAGCTGTGTTATAGCTCGAGCTGTGAGGTTCCTTAGCTTAAAGATGTAGATACGCATATGCACAGCTGGGTAATGACAGGGATGTAATCTGGTTTTAAAAAGCTGTGTTTTATGCAAAAGACCAACCTTGGACAAGCAGTCGCTCATTTAGAAAACAGAAAATTCATTAACATTAGAATAGATGTGCGAATGCACGTGTCGTGTTGTGAATTAGACATCGTTTTTTTCCTTCTGATTGTACAAATACTAAGTAATACATGCAATTATTAGTGAATGAGACCCCAAATTTTCAAACATTTTGGTACCACGGACCTGTAGGACCATTCACATGTCTTGAATTAGAAGTTCTAACCTTCTCCTCTAGTTTCTTGATGTCTTCGGTGTATTTCTGTGTATTTTGTTTGAGAAATTCGCTGAGGTGGATGACCTCCAGCTCTGCCGCAGCTAATTTACGCCCCAGCTCACTGTTCTCACAGCACAGTGGGCTCAGTCGCTCGGGCAGCTGAGACTTCGGACTCTGGCCGGACACTGGACTGTCATATGGAGAATCCTAAAATGGTGGAAAGAAGCACTTTTTTTAACTGCCATTGTAAAAGTATTTTCTCTTATTTAATTCATTTTAATGAGACATACCTTGGCCTTGAGCAGATACGAGTCATCATAGCGCCCCCTCTGGTTTTGGAGGACTTGTTGCGCCCTTATCTCGTTTTCCCTGATCCTGGCATGAAGCTGAAGGATTTGCTGCTTTTGCCTAGAATTCGCAAATCAGTAAGACACTCAGTATTCACTTAGATCATATTGGTGTTCACAGTCTGTTGCACAGCTCTGCTTTAGAGCACTTCTTTGGGGTACCATGCGAAGAATTTGTTTCAAAAACAAGTACGCTGAAAAATTCCTTTTGAGAGTGAAGGACATGCTTGCTGGAGGCAGTCGCTGTGATGTGGGAGGCACAACTGCTTTCATAAGAATGTTTTTACACTTGTAATGACATTTTAAAGTGTGCTTGGTTTGGACATTTTCTGCCTTAGAGCAAAATAATAGAGAGTGTGTGGTTAAACATTCCTAAATCAAGTTCAGCATACTAAATACCAGCAAAATCAGGGAACTGATCGCAACATCATCTTGTGGTACATCATTTTGTATCCATTAAAGGTGCTGTAAGTAAATTTTTTGAAAAATATCCTTTTAACATGATGGATATCACTGAATTCATGGTTCTGAAATAGGACAACTGTCTCTGTGATAAGCCTAGACCAGGGATAGGCAACGTCCATCCTGGAATGCCGCTGTCCTGCAGAGTTTAGCTCCAACCCTGATAAAACTCGCCTGCCTTTAGCATTTGTAATACTGAAGACATTGATTAGCTTGCTCAGGAGTGTTTGATTAGGGTTGGAGCTAAACTCTGCAGGACAGCGACACTCCAGGATCGACGTTGCCTATCCCTGGCCTAGACTATGTGGCCAAATTTTTCAATAATAAACACACACACACACACATTCCTTACAGCAAGTTTAATAAAGTAAACAAAATTGTAAATGAGCGAAATATAAATGGACAGCAAAACTGGATTTAGAAGCCTGACAAAAAGGAGACTGATGCCCAGCTAAAAGCGTGCTCGTTTCCTCATGTGTAATTCTTGGCAGGGATATGCAGGGTGTTTGTGTGTGAGCAGAAACAGCAGACTGAACAGTGGCCGTCTGCTCTGTGGCATGTGTGGCACTGCTCCGTCTGTCAGAGCTAACCTAAAAGCAAAGCAACACTATGGGTGACGGCATGATGCTATAATTACAACTGGCTCAAGGTCACAGCAGTCACTACAGGGTCACAGTCCTGAGCACAGCCGACGTTGTGTTAAATTAATGAAATGCTATTAATGAAACATCTGCCCCTTCCCCAGAAACATGAGCTGATGACAAAGCTACAGAAAAATGGATGAATCCATTACTTTGTTTACGTGGGAGGTCAGGAAAGGTCTTGTTTTGACAGCAGATGCATGACATTTCTTGGCAAGGTTGAGTCACTTTGTAGTTGCATCAGACGGACATCTTTTGCCGTTGCATCACGTATCGTGTTTGCAGCATCTTGCACCATAATCATTGCGTTGCTTTATCGAAGCAACTTTATAAGTGGATTATATTGACAAACAACCGGGAATAATTAGCTATTTTTTTAAAATTCTTCACTCGAAGATCTGGCCCAATTTAAACCCTGATTTCAATAATTTTATACTTTTTGTAATGTCTATTTGATACTTTTCACATTTAACACAATAACTACAATAATGAAATGACCCCTTTTGCCATTTATTAATCACCACATTGTGTAATTAATCTTTTTTTTTTTTTTATAGCTTGACAGCCCTAATAGTATTATATACACGCCCTGATAAATAGTTTATATTCATTGTGTACGATTTTACAGGCACTCAAAAAGTGTCTTTGTTTACTCACCGGTCAATCTCCAGTTCCCTCTGCCTCAGGAGTCCCTCCTTAATCTTTACCAAGGTATTGACAGGGAGAGAAGTTCCACTCAGCATCTGCACAAAACAATAATTATAGCATTAGAACTCCTCATTTGGTAAACACCCAGGGTCAGGCTAGCGTGTACTTATGGTAAGCACACAGTAATTAGCATACTCTGTCATCATAATCACATCGGCAACAAACTGCCACCGAAGCCATGCAGCATTACAGTGAAGAACTCCAGGGGGTTTGTAAAGGTCTCTTCTCGCCTGGAGGATGACAGCGAGTCTTTGCACTACTGAATCTAATTATGAATTTGGTTTTAACTTTACCTGGTTTTTCCAAGGAGGCGCATGACTCAATGGAAGTATGTGATTTGAATGGCAAATAAATGTAATAAAATATATCTATTTATTTAGAATTTATATTAGCTAGTGGAATACCCGTGCAAAATCTGTTTTTAGTAATTGTTGGTTTGGTATGTTGAGTTGGTGAGTTGCTGAATAGCCTATGCTACTATTACACCCAGGAGCATAAACTCTGAGAAAACGATAACGTTAAACGCACCAGAATAAAATATAATATTCCCAATTAAACAGTGTAGCTGACTTACAGATTCAGTTAACATCCACAAATGAATAAGCATGACGATTCAGGGGAGGTTCAGACCTTGGCTGGAGCGGCTACACAGTAAACTCAGAGAAAACGGTACACTTGAGCAAACAGTTGGTGAATAGGCTACTACAAATGATGGTAGTGAATAAAATATAATATTCAGATATTTTTAAACCACAACCCTCTAATGTCAGAATGTTTATTTTGGGGAGTGGCCACTCAGTGTGCAGTGTAGAGGGGGAGTGGCCACTCAGTGTGCAGTGTGAGAGGGGGAGTGGCCACTCAGTGTGCAGTGTGAGAGGGGGAGTGGCCACTCAGTGTGCAGTGTGAGAGGGGGAGTGGCCACTCAGTGTGCAGTGTGAGAGGGGGAGTGGCCACTCAGTGTGCAGTGTGAGAGGGGGAGTGGCCACTCAGTGTGCAGTGTGAGAGGGGGAGTGGCCACTCAGTGTGCAGTGTGAGAGGGGGAGTGGCCACTCAGTGTGCAGTGTGAGAGGGGAAGTGGCCACTCAGTGTGCAGTGTGGAGGGGGAGTGGCCACTCAGTGTGCAGTGTGAGAGGGGTAGTGGCCACTCAGTGTGCAGTGTGAGAGGGGTAGTGGCCACTCAGTGTGCAGTGTGAGAGGGGGAGTGGCCACTCAGTGTGCAGTGTGAGAGGGGGAGTGGCCACTCAGTGTGCAGTGTGAGAGGGGGAGTGGCCACTCAGTGTGCAGTGTGAGAGGGGGAGTGGCCACTCAGTGTGCAGTGTGAGAGGGGGAGTGGCCACACGGGATGAGAGGGGGAGTGGCCACTCAGTGTGCAGTATGAGAGGGGGAGTGGCCACACGGTATGAGAGGGGGAGTGGCCACTCAGTGTGCAGTGTGAGCTAGAGTGGCCAGCGGCTAGAGCGGCAAAAGTCAATGTGTGCTTCTTTTACAGATATATTTAACGATATCTTTTGCATTTCTAATCCAAACAATGTTTGGATTAGACAACTTACTCGTGTAAGTGCAGTGCATCTAGTGTACTCCCTATCTAGTGTACTCCCTATCTAGTGTACTTATTATCTAGTGCACTTTCTAGTGTACAGTGTATCTTTCTAGTGTATGTTTGAGTTGCTTAATAGCCTAGGCTACTATTACACAGGAGCCTAAACGATAACGTTAAGCGCACAAGAATAAAATATAGTATTCAGAATTAAACAGTGTAGCTGACTTACAGATTCAGTTAAATCGCTACTTTTTCAAAAGTAGTGAATCGCTACTTTTTCAAAAATGAATCGCTACTTTTTCGAAAAGAAAAACTACTTTTTAAAAAAGAATCGCTACTTTTTAAAAAAGAATAATGTAACAAAAGAATGTAACAAATGTATAATAATGTAACAAATGTATAATAACACTGTAATAAATTTATAATTACTTTGTAATAAACATATAATAACACAGTAATGTATAATTACATTGTAATAAATGTATAATTACAATGTAATAAATGTATAATAACGCTGTAATAAATGTCGTTACATTGTATTAAACGTATAATTATATTGTAAGAAATGTATAATAAGACTGTAACAAATGTATAATTCCATTTTTTCAAAATGAATCGCTACTTTTTAAAAAAGAATCGCTATTTTTTCAGAAAGAATCGCTACTTTTTAAAAAAGAATTGCTACTTTCTCAAAAAGAATCGCTACTTTAAAAAAAAGAATCGCTACTTTAAAAAAAAGAATCGCTACTTTTTCAACAAGAATAATGTAAAAGAATAATGTAACAAATGTATAATAACACTAAATGTATAATTACATTGTAATAAACTTATAATTACATTGTAATAAATGTATAACACTCTAATAAATATATAGTTACATTGTTTTAAACATATAATTATATTGTAATAAATGTATAATCAGACTAACAGATGTATAATAATAATAATAATAATAATAATGTAACAAATGTATAATAACACTAATAAACGTATAATTACTTTGTAATAAACGTATAATACCACTGTAATGTATAATTACATTGTAAAAACCGTATAATTACATTGTAATAATGTATAATAACACTGTCATAAGTGTATAATTACATTGCAAAAAACAGATAATAACATTGTAATGTATAATTACATTGCAATAAACAGATAATAACACTGTAATCTGTAATGTAATGTGTTAATAAATGTATAATTACATTGTAATTAATGTATAATAACACTGTAATGTATAATTACATTGTAATAAACGTATAATTATATTGTAATAAATGTAAAAGACTGTAACAAATGTATAATTACATTTTTTACAATACTTTTTCAAAAATACCTACTTTTTTCAAAAAGAATAGCTACCTATTCCAAAAAGAATCGCTACTTTTTTCAAAAGGAATCGCTACTTTTCCAAAAAGAATAGCAACTTTTTCAAAAAGAATCGCTACTTTTTCAAAAAGAATCGCTACTTTTTTCAACAAGAATAATGTGACAAAAGAATAATGAAACAAATGTATAATAATAATAATGTAACCAATGTATAATAACACTAATAAATGTATAATTACATTGTAATAAACGTATAATAACACTGTAATGTATAATTACATTGTAATAAACGTATAATTACATTGCAATAAATGTATAATTACACTTATGTACAATTATATTGTAATAAATGTATAAGACTGTAACATGTATAATTAAATTTTTTACACTACTTTTTTAAAAAATCGCTACTTTTTCCAAAAAGAATAGCTACTTTTTTCAAAAAGAATAATGTAACATATGTATAATAATAATGTAACAAATGTATAATGACACTGTAATAAATGTATAATTACTAGTGCTGGGCAAGTTAACGCGTTATTATCGCGTTAACGCATTTATTAATTAATGCCGACAATTTTTTTATCGCGCGTTAACGCAGTTTTTTTTATTATTATTATTTTCAAAGTCCGTTGCTCACTGGCTCTGAATACACATAGGCCTACAGTCAAACCATGATCACAGGAGGGGTGGGATGTTGGTCAGCCAGCAAATAACCCACCCAAACAAGCAGTGGAGAGGCTTTGGCAGGTTCTCTCAGGTGAACAGAAAGGGAGACAGAGCTCCGCGAGTGAATGACAGGCGCTCCATGGATAGTAACCATGCAACGGCTTCTGTGCGCTACGCAGCTGTAGCCTTTTTAACTTAAATTAAAATTATACATAACTTTACCTGATAGGCCTGCGTTTAGTTTAGCGGGGATGCTCTGCCATGTGAATAACTATTTAGATTCTGGAAACTCACAAACAGCGAGCCAAGGATCAGTCTCTCTTCCAATGATTTGTGCTGCGCGTCGTGTACAAAAAGTTAGACAATTCAACTTCGGCAACGCGCGGGCGCGTGCGTGAGGCGAGCATGACCGCAACAGTTTCACAGAAACGCACCCACTTGTCGCTGCACCTGTGCTCGACCACTTCACCTCACTCTAGGCTGATTTATAATTCTGCGTCGGACCTAAGCCGGAGCCTCTACGCTATAGACTACGCGTTGGTTTTCATTTATATATCTGCGTCGTTGTCCGCGTTGACGCGCAATTACACATGCAGAGGGAGAGTGTGAAACCCGGGGAGCGGTTCTAGCAATCACAGCGCTTGCAGTACGCGTAGAATTGACGTTACATTTCTGGAGAGATGCACGTCAGGGTACGCGCGCTACACAGCTGCGGCGTGAGTTCGACGCAGAAGTATAAATTGGGCTTTACCTCTGTTTAATGTAATCTTACGTGGGAAACCATGGCATGCCATGACCAAACCTAAGCTGCTATCAGAGAAGTAACGTTGGTCGACTTATATCTGTAGTAGTGATCATGACCCTTTGACTAGACTGTTTCTGCTGCTCCCTGATACAAGATACCTGTTCAGAAAAAAAAAAAGAAAAGAAAACTGGACTCTTTTTAACAAGCTAGATAAAAGGTAATGCGCTGGCAGTGGCAAATAGCTTTGTTTAAATATTTGATTTGATTACGTTAATGTTTAAGTTGAGATTTACAAGAAATATTGTATTGATACTGTGTATCAAGGGAATACTGCTGGTATAAAAGCACCTTATTTGTTTAAAGTTTTTGCAAACCACATGTTATTGCACTTTTGTAGCAGTACATTTAAATCAAAAGTGCGCAATACACTACTTTAGAATTCATTATTCAATATTGCGCGTAACAATGCGATTAATCGCAAGAAAATCATGCGATTAATCGCGATTCAATTTTTTAATCGTTGCCCAGCACTAATAATTACATTGTAATAAACGTATAATAACACTGTAGTGTATAATTACATTGTAATAAATGTATATTTACATTGTAATAAATGTATAATAACACTGTAATAAGTGTATAATTACATTGCAATAAACATAACACTGTAATGTATAATTACATCGTATTAAACGTATAATTACATTGTAATAAACGTATAATTACATTGTAATAAACGTATAATTACA